ATTATCAACAAGATAATAAGGTCGTCGCGTGAATACGCGTTATGAAAAATGACGGACGAGCACAGGTTGATTGCAAATGTACCAACACGTCATAAGGAACATACTATCCACTACCAAATAGGAGAAGGTTGAGCTGGGTCGTGAAGAGAATTGCTCTATTTTATCCTTTCGTTTTCAACTAATAAAAACTGAATGAAATGAAATGCTCTTTAAAAGCACCCTTAGGATACGACAGTCCAAAACGCAGTTTTTTTCCTTGATTTGTTTGCCGTCGATCTTGTTTTCTGTACTGAGTACTAATGCTACCGACGCCAGGGAGGCAGCTCCCACACCTGGACCCTACCTATGGACCCATCAACTCATGGACCGGGGATCAACAGCTTTACTTCCCTTGCAAAGGAAGGCGTGATCAAAGAATTTATGCCTCAGAAAATCCCGACGGCGCTGACTGGGATTGAACCACCACCAGCGCCGCTAAGTATCATTTTGTTAATTTAACGTACAGTATTGCTAGTTCAGTACTTCAACTAGCATTATTATTATTATTTAGCTTTATTTAGGAGGCTTTCAGCCTTAGGCTGGTTCGCCTCCACCACTTCAACTAGCATTTCGGCACATGAAATTCCAGAAATAAGCAGGCCAAATAACACGGGGGCAACAATCAAGAATTTCTTCGAAGTTCACATCAATGTGAGGCCTAGGAGAACTGCAACAGACTACTCTTCTAGCATTCAGCACTGCGATGCAAGTGTGAATGAGTAAGACGTTTTGTTTTGCCATCCTCCGTCAGATTTATCACTGTCAGTTTGCTCAAAAGTGTCAGAATGTCCAAAAATATCAAATCATGTCAGCTACGGTGCATCTATATTAGGTTGACATGGATAAAGTGTCCCTTCCAGAGGTTGAAACAGTTGACGTCTTTTATTACACTCGCTTCGCTGTCGTGCGCGACAGTCAATTTGTATTCGTACTCTCATGCAGGGATTCAAAATCTACGATTTAGATAAAGATAATGTTATTCTCATTTTGGTTACACTCATGATCAGTACAAACTCAAAAATCACAACGGAAAACTCTGGAAACGATAATGCGATTATCATTTGTGTTACAGATCACGATCATATGAAATAGCGATAATCTTCGATCATGATCATCAACTGTCGTCACCGAAAATTCCTCATGTAAGACAAGAAAAATAATTTAAAAAAAAACCTTAATCCAAGATGGCGGCCATCGATTGCAGAAAAACTGTCAAATACCCTGCAACAGGTTATTTTAAGAACAAGGATGACATGCAGATGTAGAATCCAAGATGATTGCCATTGGTTTAAGAAACAAACTGTACCCAAAATAGGGTATTTTTGGAACCGGAATGACGTGTAGATATTGACAATCGATGTCCACCATCATGTTGACTAGATTATTGACAGTTTTCTGTTAAGCAATTGGCCGCCATCTTCAAGTCCAAAATGGCGGTAGACATCGATTTTCGACATCTACACGTCATTCCGGTTCCAAAAATACCCGTATTGTAGGGTCTTAGATAGTTTTTCTTAAATCAATGGCTGCCATATTGGATTTCAAAATGGTGGCAGATATCGATTTTCGACATCTATATGTTATTCCGGTTCCAAAAATACTCATATTGTAGGGTATGTGACAGTTTTCATGAAATCAATGGCGGTCATCTTGGTTTTCGAAATGGCAGCGGACCTCAATTTCCAGCATTGTACATGTTCATCCCAGTTCTAAAAATACCCATGTTGCTGAGTGTTTGACAGGTTGTGGATATTTATTTTCGACATCTACATGTCATCCCGGCTCCAATACTACCCATATTGTAGGGTACCAGAACGAAGGCAGTAAGTTACAAGATTTCGAGACGTGATTATCATATCAGTGGATTATCGTTTTAGTTGCTGATCATGATGTGTAACACAAATGTACAAAAATTCGAGAAAATAAAATTATCAAGTAACTATCATATGACATGTGTGATTTCGTTCTAATTCCTCAATTTGGTGTAAATTAAACCATTTCTGATCAGAAATATTATTACTAGGACATCGTTGCTTGCTATTTTCAAAATCCGCACAAGTACATCATCAGCAGCTCTTATTATGAGAAACACTAAAATACATACATTCGTGACGGTGTTCGGCGACAGTGTCGTATGACAGAGCCTGTCGTATGAAATTGTAGTTTGGTACTGTAATTTGATAGCTTGTTTAGCAAATGACTGAAGCAAAGACAGTCGATTATCACAGAAAATGCGGTAACCACAAACAAGACTGGTATCTGCCAAATAGCAAAAAAAATATTTTTTAACTCGCACTTCTCTGATTTGCATGAAACTTGGTACAATTGTTTGTAACAACAGTTTGTTATAGGCGATCATTCACATTTGTGCAAAAATTTTGCCATTTTTGAAGATTTTGTTTTTCAATAAATAGTAACACGAAAACATCACTTCTGATCGAAATGACGCCTTCTAGGAAAAATACACTGCCGGTCATAAGTGAGGACTCACTTGAAAAAGTATTGCAACATTCATATTGAATATTGCATCACCTTGAAAAATTTAGCATCACCCCAAGTATTCACATTCTTTTTGGGTGATGCTAAACTTTTCAAGGTGATGCAATATTCAATATGAGTGTTGCAATACTTTTTCAAGCGAGTCCTTACTTATGACCGGTAGTGTATATATGATAAAATTTTAAAAGTAATATAGAGTCAAATTTTATAAAAAAAATAGTTAAAAACTATAAAGTTATAAAATTTCCTTGTTTAATTTTTATATAAAAAAGGCTCATGAAATGCAAACCTTTGAAATATTGAAAACCTTTGCATTTTAAAACAATTTAAAATGCCTCAAATATGGTAGCAGCAATGAGATTTAAAAAAAAAACGTACTTTTCTTTGAGTTGCGTCTGTATCGGTTCGGGAACACTTAATTTTACATGTTTGTTTACGTTCCATAATTTACGTCAAAGATGGATTACGTCTCGTGTAAAAATAGTTATTTCTATGTGTGTACCCTCATATTATTTTTACACATTTACTGCGGTTTAAAAATATAAGAGTCACGCTAGATGTGCCATTTTTTCTAGACAATTTTTAAATTACAGGAAATGATTGTTAATGGAATTTATTCATCAAAAGTGGGATCAAAACATGACCCATAACCTATTTAATTGCGAGAAAGATAGAAAGCTTTATCATGAACAACTTTGCTGAGAGGAGTCCGTTTCAACATTTCAACAATGATTTGGGATAAGATTTCACTAAATTTCAAAGCATTGAACTTTTTTCAAACAGTACCTTTAAAGGTAGTACCTCTAAATCAACTATGACTAGGACAAAAACCAATCATGCGGCACATCAAATTGCATCAGAATTCAAAAACAAGATCGTAGTCGGAATGGGACATATCGAGTGTCCCAGACTATAATGGTCACATCCGGATCCAACCACAAGAGAGCGGCCTGTTTCAAACTAGAGCCAACACACATCTTGCGACAAATACAAATTCATGTGAACTCTGAAACAAACTGCAATGGGATCTGGGATCACATTGACCAAAACGTGTGCATGTTCTTGATACCACCTCGGAAGTAGGTCAACATTTTATTTATTAAAAAGAGTCAGATCACACCATAGGTGGATAAATTCAGGGTTTTATTTATTATTTGAGATTGTCCTGCGCTATGTACAGCAAAATTGTAAAACAATTTACTTGATGCAACTTTGCTGATGAGACCAATGTTCTATGTCTAATGGTGTAAGTGCTATACTGCCCATAATCGCATAAGAGTCCCATATGGATTTTAGTCCATTTTGCAGTAACAATGCTATTCAAAATCAATTGGCATATACTTTCATATTATATTATAAAACTACGGACTATGAACATGAAAAATGCAAAAACAACGTCAAGCCAATTTGTCCCATCGTGACTTGTCCGGGGATGAGATTTGAACTCGTGACTTTGGCGTGAGAGGTATGGATGCTAAACACTACGCCGGGGTCACCCCAAATGACAAGAGATGTTTCGTCTCAGAAAATCACAACAACCTCGACTGGGATTGAACCCGGATCTGCTGCGGTAAGAAAACTACTCTCTGAAGATTTCAGCTCATTTGATTGTAGCATGAGCTAGCGCTTTTAATTTAAATTGTGTTTGAGGTTTTGGAAAAGCTTTTTCAAATAGGTACAAGTACATAGTCTAAATGTTGTTCAACCGTTTTCGAACAATTAAACTAATTTCATCGTAATTTTTGACGTTAAAATAGTTGAATTAATTCATAGCTGCCTCAACAACGTATTGAGCCTTCAGCTCTGTTATCAAACGGACGTTAACGTAAGCAGTAACTGCTCCCGCAGCTTTGAAGCGTTTCTACAATAAATCAAGTTAGAATTGCGCAACCCAAACATTCAGTCGACCAAAACTGTCCACTACCACCCGACAAACACGCCTTCGCCTTATCTCCCGAGCTCGGAATTCGTTACACACATAAAGCACCCGATAAACTCGGACTCTATCGACCATCCCGTGCGCTACATAAATCTTTCTTAATCCCACATGATTGTTCCCGCTATTATTTTATGGTACTATTCTTGGAAACATAGACCATCCAAAGTAGATCCAACAATATATGTCAGTAACACTGAACTCAGCAGTTTGGTTCCGGATAGTTAAAACAACAAACGGACACCGTCCAAATGTATCCTACAATGTTGTGCTTAAGGTGTACGAATATTTTGTTTCTCCTCTTCGCGGTTGCGTATCTCAAAGTTGCCGTTTTCAACGTGAACCATTAGCTCCAATCACGTTTCGTTTTGGGGCTGTCCCGGCGTCATGAATGAACGCGTTCCATTAGCAATGACATGCAAATTTCTCTCTACATCTCTAAGAGTTTTCCATGGGCAATGTGGCATATCAAACAATGCTGTGTGAAAACATATTTGTTGTGCAATTCGCTAGTCTAGGTACTCACCAATGATAACAACGTCCTTATAGATAGTATCCTTATTGATTAGATTCCTGTTGGCGATGATATCCTTCATTTTGAACTATGGCAATTTCTACGGTCGGAGTGCAGACTGTCGTGGTTTGAGTTGCACAACGTTGAACTCAACAACGGGTGTAAATTATGGACACACTAATCGAAACTTAAGCACTACACAAAAAACTATCACTAGCAAGTTTCTCAAAAATCGAGAAAATAATCTAGGATTTCAATAATTAAAAAAAAACACGGATTGCACAACTTGACGCTATGCGGTTGCGGATTCCAGGCGGCTTTTGGTCGCGTCTGTTTCTTCAATTTCTCCTTTCCGAAGATGATGAAACTCGTATCGGACGTGTGTAAACAGACGGAAAAGGGAACTATATATGTTGATGTTGTTCCCCTTGCAGTTATATCACACTAAAAGGGACTTGCTACAATCAGCATGTGGTATTTCCGATTTGTATAGCAGCAGAAATTCACTTTGCGACTGGATTCATACGCGGCCGGCACTGGACTGGTTGGCTTGCGGCTTTTTGATCGCGTATATATTTATTCACGCGGACGACGCGTTCACACTCACACAACATCACTTCGCCGCATCGGGTAGGTTGAGTCGCGGCAGGAATGGGGCCTGTGGTGGGGCTCCAAAGTGCTCAAAGTGATTGAATAAACATACACCGACGGCGGTGGCGGCGGCGACACGCGGACCCTCGTTGAGAGACACGAAAAGATAGAGAGCGAGAGGGCGAGTCAGAGAGCACGCGTCCGAGACTCAAAATTTAATACTGATAAGAGCGGTCTGCTTTCTTCTCGGATAAGACGAATATCATTGACTCACTGATTGTTATCATTTAGATAATGAGAATCAATGACTATCGGGTGATGATTTAAGTATTTTGCTGCTTATCTAAATCGAATATTCGCCGGTACGCGAGTGTTTAATTTACTGATGACGTACTGATGACGGGGTAGTTTTGATTTAGATGGACGAGATAAGAACTTTTTACCGATAATCTTTGGCTATTGTTTCGTGGTAGTCTGTAATGAGAAAGATAACAGAAATAGGACATATTTTAGTTCCTAGAATTGATAAATCGAACCTCTTAATGGTTCGCCTATGAAGTGGATGAAGTAAGGGACTGTTCATAAACCACGTAGACAGTTTAGGGGGGGAGTGGAGGTGGGTTTGGCAAATGTTTACGATCCATACAAATTTTTAAAAAATGTATTGGCGATTGTCTACTATCTCAAAAACGGTATGCGTAGTTTATGAACCGCCCCTAATGTCCTTATAAATTGCTTATTGTTTATCTTTTGAAATTATATGCGTATACGTCTACCTATAGTAGACTTCCACAGTGCCACCTACTCCAAAAGCTCATCAAATATTTTGGAGCACGTAGAATTGTTGACTAAAACCGAAGACATCATATCAAGAAGACTGGCAACTTTGCCAGAATCCAAGCGACAGATACAGTACCGCTGCACTTGAGCGAAGGTGGAAGTAACGCATAGAAAAATGAGCAAATACACAAACCTTTCTTCTGAGGATGTTATCTTTGCTATCAAATTCGTTCGAAGCATTTACCTTTGAGCAGCAGATGACGCGGTTGTACCTTTCTCATAGCGTCCGTATAAAAAAATAGAAGAGTTACCAGTCTTCTTGATTTGTTGTCTTCGCTAAAACCCTAAGTATCTACTTCCATATAAAGAAAGAGATAGAGAGAAGTATTAGTAATTTCCATTTAATTCCATTATTTAATTTGCTTATCCTTGACGGATACGCGTATTTCGTCTACAATGGGCAGACTTCTTTAGTGTCTTGTGCTCATACTCCAGTCAAGGATAAGCAAAAAGGTTGTGGAATTAAATGGAAATAATGAATCCTTCTCTCTTTCTTTACACTAGCGCTTATTTACTACAGTTACAGATGTCACTGCAAACATAAAAAAAAGAAGAAGAACGAACTTCTAAGGCTGTGAACCATTTGCCGAGTTGAATTTAACTCATTGCCAAAAGCGACATTTCGAAAGTTATTTTCCATGTTCGAAAATCCCTGTGTTATATGGGTCATTCCAGCTCAAGTGGGTACACCACCTGTTGTCGATGTCACCTATTTGAGCCAAACTTGGCCAAAACACTTATTTTGACATTTTGAACAAACACCTTTTTTGATTTTGCTCTGAAGTGCCTCTCGGCTACAACCCTGGATTTTCGGGATTTAAAAAAATGTCATCTTTCAGAAGAGATTACTCTACAACCAAATTAGCTATTCGTGATCTTCGAACGTTAATTTGAAGGATTTTTTTTAATGTAGATTCTTATAGGTGTACTCACATTTTATTTTTGTTATAGTAACTACAGTAAACAGGCTAATCAAAAATAGGGTATTTTCACCATGGGCGGGATTTTTTTATTTCTTAATATTTTGGGCCTAAATTTTCCCCACACTTTGGAAAACTCTTCTACTTGATGTGTTTCCAAGGGCAAATGATTTGGACGAATAGTTTTTGAGATATGATCAGATGAGTGAGTGGTAGTTGTGAGCTTTTCAGGTGGAAAATCAATGCTATTTATTTATTTTTTTTATTGAATTCCTTGACGCCGATGGCATAATCATATTTTTATGTTATTTTTCACATGTTCTGTGCAGGATTCACATTATATGAAATCATAACTAGCTCATTGATTTACTTCTGTCCATAATTTAATTGTGGTCTTAAAAGTGAAAAAAAATACGTTCCTACACATCAAAACATAAATTTTAATATTACATCCAAGAGGATGCACTTTAATCATGTCGAAAATCTCATGTAATTGTCATGGGTTACAGTTGGGTTTTGTAATTTTATCCTATGTAATTTAATAAAAGTGGAAATGCATGGATTTTCACAGAACTTTATGAAAGCAGTTGCGTCTTTTACAGCAAACAGATATTCTCTCTTATGATACCAGGCTTTTCAGAAATTATTCCAAGGATCTGCAGATATTCTAAGATCTCCATGAAGTCGGATTGCTATTTTTTCAAGACTTCAGGTTGATCAGGTATTATTCTAAAGATCTTCAACTATCCAAAATTTTATATCACGTTTATTAAATGTTTTCTCATCATACCAGTTTGCTCATAAATTATTCCGAAGACCTTCAGGTGATCAGAGATACCCATGATAACCTCAGGATACTCTTTCAAGACTTTGAGTTGATCAGGTATCATAACGAAAATATCCAACAATCCAATCACATCTCTCATACACTAACCGTCATAAGTAATGACTCGCATGGAAAAGTATTGCAACACTCAATTGAATATTGCATCACCTAAAAAATTTTATCATCACACAAGAAATTTTATTCAAATTTTAACAAACTCACTGTATCACTGTTAAATTATTGTAGTAAACAATCAGAAAGCTCTTAATTAGACTAGAAAAGTGTTGCAGAAAGTGAATTTGTTCAAATTTTAGTGAAAATATAAACTTTTCTTGGGTGATGCTAAACTTGCAATACTTTTCCACGCGAGTCATCACTTATGACGGGTAGTGTATATTCTCTCATATGATACCAGGCAGCTCAGACATTATTCCAAAAACCTTCACGTGTTTTAAGATATCCATGTCCAAAAAGTATCTTCTGGATACTTTTTCAATACTTCAGGTTGGCCAGGTACTATTCTGAAAATCACATACTGTCCAACATTTCAAATCACATCTCCCAGATATTCTCTCATGATACCAGGTCAAAATATTCCAAAGACCTTAAAATCTTATTTTATATTAAAAAAATAGATTATGTAATTTTTTCCCAATTTGTCATCGAAATTCACTGGTTTTTTTTTCCCGGTGACTTCGAATTCCCGACTTTTTCCCGGTTTTCTGGTTTTCTCAGTTAACTGGGCACCCTATGATAAGCTATTTTTCCTAGCTTATCAGGTTTAAAATGAAGAGCAAGAATACTCAATAAAGCCACTATATGCTTTTTTCTTTTTTGTTTTTCGTGCTGAGCACAAATGCTACCGACGCGACGCCAGGGAGGCAGCTCCCACACCTGGACCCTACCTATCGACCCATCAACTCATGAACCGGGGACCAACGGCTTTACTTCCCATCCGAAGGAAGGGGTGATCAGAGATGTTATGCCTCAGAACATCCCGGCGGCGCCGACTGGGATTGAACCCACACAGCTAAAAAAAAGTAGTGTAAATTTCCGTTACTATGATGCACATAAATGAAGCGTCATAAATCATACAAATTTACATTATAAATCGTGTAAATTTATGAGACAAGTCATGCAATATTCCATATATTGTTTTCAACTTTCCACCTTTGTTTGCAACATTTCTTGCAAGCTGCTAGTTTACGTGAAAAGGAAGTTTACATGCATAAATGTTTGCATGCATGGATGTTTACATCACCAGTAAAATTCAGATTTTTTTAGTGTGCAGGCCTGCTGGGGTGAGAGATAATCACGCTTACCACTACACCACCGGCGCAGCTAGCCACTATATGCTGTCGAAGCAATGCTTGTCTACGTATCTTTGAATCATTTTCAATCATAAAGTGTTACCCCAAGCAATGAAAAAAACCGTCCAAGCAAGACCATTACCCTAAATTCTCATTTAGCTGAATCTCTGAGCTAATCAGGCTGTTAAGAGCACAAGAACTACAAGCATTAAAAAAAATCATCATGTTCTCTAACTCTTTACCATTATTGCATTTACTCAAAGGTGCTCCAATGCGCTCAAAGGATTGATTTTCGTTGAACACAGCTGGATCGAGCAGACACACCAATCTACTCTACATTTTGCAACAACTAACAACGTCTAGCGACTATGGAATTGGATCAACCCTCAGGATCTCAGTTCAACTCAGGAATGTGCCAACAGCTAGTGGGAGCTGAGTTTATATCAGACCCAGAATCATCGAAATACCCATCGAGTAATTTTTGCTCAACTTGCAAAAATGCAGCATCAAGGATGCAGCAACGTAACTCTATTCAAAATTTGAAATGAACAATCATCTTCAAACCACACCGAGTAATTAAGTTGTTAGAAAGTAGCAGTCAGTCATACTTATATGAAATATTTCCCTGAATTTGAATGAAATTCTCTGAGATTCCCTGATTGTTTATGTCAAACAAATTATTTCCCGATATTCCTTGATTTTCCAGGGTTTAATAGGTAGTCGACAACCAGTTTTCAACCCGAAAAATTCCCAGACTTGACCAGACCTGACTCCAAAACGGATAATGTAATTGGATTTAGGTCGTTGAATATGCATCGTTTTTAAGAAATTGCTAAAAACGGTCCTCGGAAAAAGTCACTTTTGGGGGAAACCCATGTAAAAAAGCCGCGTGAGTTCGTGTTTGGCTTTCAACGTTAGCAGTTCAGCTCGTGCCGTGTTCTGTGTGTTCATTTTGTCTTCCCTTTGTTTGTGCCTGCTGGCGATCCGCCTCTCGGACGAATGTTGTCGTCGTCGTGTTTGTGCGTTGAGGTTGTGTTTCAGAAATGCAATCGAAGTGTTCCGTGGCCGCTATAAGATGCGTGGGTTTTCGGTCGCTGGAGTTGTAGGTTCTGATTTCGGCGTTGGTCGCGAGTTGATTCGGCCGGTGAGAAGCTGGCGGTGCGTCTTAAGCTGGGTTTATACTAGGCAAGTCAAATGATCAACTCAGTTGAATTCAATTGGCTTGAAAAGTTGAGCCTGGTTCAACTTTTTTCAATTCAAGTGAGTTGATCAAGTCAGTTGAATGGCATGGTTTACACGTTCAATTCGCGTTCAAGTCAGTTGAATTCAACTGACTTGATCAATTGACTTGCCCTGTCTAAACCCAGCTTTACAGACCGTGTACTGGCGAACTGAAGCCGTTGTGTCGCGAGTGATTGGTGATGGAAAGTGGATGCAGTCTTTTTTTTTTCTCTGCAGAGATCCCTCTAGTTGGAGCAGCTAGAGTGTGTTTCGTGGTTGATGGGGTTTGCACTGCTGTGTGAGAACCGAAAGGCGAGAGTGCTGTTTTTAACACCGGTTGAAGAAGTAGCGGCAGCA